CTCCCACTCGGCGACGAGGAGCCGCCGCCGCCGCCGCCGCCACCTCCGGCAGGAAGGCAAGAGAGGCCGGGGAGGAGGCGGAAGAGGCGCGGCGCGGCTCCCCCTACAGCCGGGCACTCTCCTCGCTCTCTCTCTCTCGTCCCCCGGCCCTCCACCACATCTCGCGCTTTCATTTCTGGAGGAGAGGGGGGGTGTCAATGAATGTTACCAGTTCAACAAGGCCGCGAGTCAAGCGGAAGCTAGCCGGGCAAGGCTTGGGCAGGGACCGAAGAGCTCTCGGCTCTTTGGAAGGGAGTCCGCTTTCGGCGAGGTCGGGGAGCCTTATGCCCTCCCAGGCATCTCGATTTACAATTCCCCCATAATAATCGCCCACCATTGAGCACGTTGGGTGAGGCGGGAGGGGCCGTTCTCCCCCACAGACTTGAGCCCCTGCAGGATGATGTTCAGGCGTGGGCTGCATTTCCTTTTGATTTCTTCTCATATGAATGCGCCAAGGCTGGCAACCGGAGAGTCCTGTGTGGTTTTAAGGGGACTGTCCATGGATCAGCTGCCTTGGACACCCCTGTCCCCCCCCTCCCGAGTGGGTAACTGTGACTCTTCAGGTGGTTTTTGGTCTACATGACTCACCAGCTGGGCACTGAGGAGAGAGTGGGAATTGGCATCCAAAAATATTTGGAAGGATACAGTTGGTCACTGTTGCTTTAGAGGCCAGCCCCATGGACACCTTGTTGTGGCACTTAACTTGGTCAAGTACAGTGACTTTTCTAAGTAGCGTCTCCAGAATGTCTGTCCTAATCCTAGCTAGGAGCAAAGCTGTCACATCCCAGTAGGACCGCCTTTTTCTCGTCAGAGCTCCTGTCTTTTTCTTTTAACATATGTTCCCAACCTTGGGTTCCCAGATGCTGTTAAAGTGTAACTCCTGCCATCTCTGCTTAGTATGGCCAAGTATAAAGGGTGATGGCAATTGTGATCTGCAATGGCAGCTGCTGCCTATTGGGGCCAATGGAGCAAAGAACTGCCGCTATCTGTGGATTAAGCCGTGTGTAACCAGGAATCACAGCAGGCAGAGCAACTTTAAAATGATGACCTTTCAAACTCAGTGGAACCTTCCAGTGGAACCTTCCACCAGCATTGTCATGGAGGATTACACTGTATGAGTAGTGATCTCATAAACAAAACCCATGTTCTGCTTGCACATTGACAATGCTTGTGCGAGCAGTGCAGTGCCAGTTTACTATAGCGGCAAGACTTCCTTTCCAGTGGAAAGATACAAGGGATGGGGGGTTTTTTGGACTATAAATCCCATAATTCCCCATTCTGGGAGTTCTGTTTGACAGACAGACACCTAAATGTGGCTCGCCTGGAGAAAGGCTGAGCTCCATGAAGCTTCTTGTTCAGAAAGAAAGCTGCCAGCTTAGCACAGGAACAGGAAACCTGGATAGGTTTCTCCCAGGTGAGCCACATTTAGGTGTCTGTCAGGTGAAAGTCCCAGAAAGGAGAATGATGGGGTTTGTAGTTCAAAAATCCCATTCCTAGAGCATACTGGGCCATGAGTGCCAAATTAGGCAACAGTTTCTGTCTCAGCACTCTAGTAAACCCATATTTTTGTTCCTTTCAAGTAGCAACCGGTAGGGCAGGAAGGGAAACTGAAGTAGGCATTTTCTGTCTCTCTCACCAGTGCAAAAATACATTTCAGAACACCACACGAAGCATCCCTCCCTACATGGCACACCAAGCTCATAAACACCTGAACGGAGAGACCTTTACCTCAGTCATTTGATTTCCTCAGTTCTGTAATCACTGCTGGCAGCCCTCCCAACACCCCATCTTAAAAATCATCCTCCCACCAGTTATGGCCCTCTTCCCTATAGCATGAAGAAGGCAAGGATTAAGGAGAAATAGTTTGCATAATAAATTGGTGCTGAAAATTATCCAGATGTCTCTTTCCTTACAGTAACTATGATTGAATGAGAACAGCTTTAGTGTTCTCTTCTGCAATACCTCAGGCAGTTCCATAGCTACAAATAAAATTCTTTGTTCTTGTGCCACAGAAGATTTTATAGTATTTGATACAACAAGCTAATATGGCTAAAGCTCCAGGAAAAAGAAAAAAGAAAATCCATGTAATACTGTGCCCTAGTTTTCCTTCCAAAAGCAAGCCAACAGCAGGTGACAGAGTGGAAAAATTCTGGCAGGTGTAATGAGAAGGAGGGATGTGGTAGCTCAGGCATAAAGGGCAAAGATTTCACATGTGCTCAGACAAAATGCTGATTTATCACAGCACATAATATAGGGTGGAGGGGGCTTGACTCCCCACCCTGTCCACCCAGGTAGGCTGTAGTTCAACAGGGCATATGGAGAAGTGTACATGATGAAGAAGGCTACCCATATTGAATTTCTGTATCAGCAGGAGATGGAAAGAGAAGAAGAAAGGACAACTCTGTCCTACAGAGTAGTATAATAAAGGCTTCATAGGAGGTCTTGCTAAATCCTGCATTCGATTCAGGCCTATAGAAAGCATTATTCATGTATACCCTCCTTTCCTTTATGCTGCAGAAAACTATAGCAGCTATATTTAGGGATGTATGAAAAATTCTCAAGATTATTTTACACTAGGTTTTACCTAGTAGTGTATAACTTTCAGACCAAATAGGTATGGACATAGTTTGTGACTGGAAATGTATATATTTCTGTACCTGCTGCACAGTATTGTAGAAGGGAAAAAAACTTTTGACAACACACATTCCCTTTTGAAAAACGCTCAGAAAATATTGTCTATTTCTGAAATGTACACAATTGTGCCTTAATGATAAAATACCTCTGCAAATATGAGAAATCCACACAAACATAAATACAGACTTTTATCCATTAATACAAAAAATACTGTGTCTTTTAATATGAAACTGACTCAGAACAGGATTGAAAGTAGCAGAAGAAGGAAGTATGCAGAAATGGACTGAACACACATTCATGAGGCATTTTACTGATTTATTTAAGATGTCATATACTGTAGTGGCTTTTAATATTTTTAATATTTCTGAGTTTAATAGCTGTAGTGCAGTTTATGTTATCCTGAGGACCTAAAGGGTATTTGAACTGAGAAATACCTCAGATTTTATGGACAGGGATTCAAAGTCAAATGTTGTCACTGCCAGAAACATCTTTTTTTGAAGAATTAAGCCCTGCTGGGAGGAAGAACTTGGACAGTTGATTCTGTTTATTTAATTGCATTTTTACCCTATTATTGTAACACCATTTGTCCGTGTTAGATGTACTATATATGTGCAGGCATGAGCGTGTGCGCACATGCACGGATTTTGAAGTAATTTGGTCTAGAATATCTAATCCTCAGCAGGTGGATTATGGCTCATGGGAATGGTGATGTAATTTACCATATGTTTTCCCTTACACTCTGTTAAATATGTAAAGTAATGTAAGGTGTTTTGTATCCATAGCATTACCCTGTAACTCTGGTGAGATCGAATCTCCCATGTGTTACTTCATTGTGTTTTTTATTTTGGCATTCGAGAAGTCCTTGTTAACCCTTACGTAAGGGCATTTCGTGGAATGTTGACCCTTACATAAGGGCATTTCCTGTACGATCAAAGGCACATTACACACTGCTTTTGCTGACAGGGTGATGCCCTGGCAGATATACTGGGCTAAACCAAAATTCAGATATGCTGACAAAAGTAGCTAAATTCTATGCTGCTGCAATCAAAATCTGTGAAGGAAAGGTTCCACCTGAAGCACAGCTTTAATGAAGGAAAGGTTCCACCTAAAGCACAGCTTTAATATCTGTAAATTGGTGTATACATGTAGAGGCCTTAATGATCACACGGCTTTATGAGCTTCAAAGTATCATTATATGCAAGCTGCAATAGTCTATAGATAAGGCCTATGATAGGGAGGCAGGAAATATTTAATAAGATGTATGAATGTAGTTTTATACACATATGTATATAGATGTTTTAGTGTTTTACGTTGATTTTATGTATCCTTATTTAAATAATGTTCCTTACTTTTGCTGGTCAATGACCGTAATAAAACATTATTATTATCTATAGCATTGGGAAAATGTTGACTTCATCCTCTCTTCCCTTTTCAATAAGGAGACAAAATTAGCAACTTAGGAAGAGGCAAGATAGTAGGAGGGGTGTAGCCAGTTTCAATTTCAGTTGTAGGTAAATCATAAACGTACAGCCTTATTTGATACAATCATAGAATTAAAAAATAAATAAACAGACCTAGATATATGTACAGTATTTAAAAACAATGCTTAATATGATTATTTAAATAATGTAAATGAACACAATTGAATAAGATTTGAGAAGAGAAAAGCAGCAACATTTGAATTTGTGAACATAAATCGTCAGATAAATAAACTTCTCAAGGTTGCAGACATTTTGATCAGTATGAATCAATCAATATTATTCTGTTTCACAGTCTACCAAAGGGAGGATTCCCTTAGTTTCCCCCTCCCCTTTTGAAAGCTACTAACTTTTCCAAATTTTCTTTCTTTTTTATTCCTACTCTGTTTTTAACAGACCAGTCAGTTTTAGTTCCACAGGACATAGTCATAAATAATGTTCACATATATAGGCAGATCCCAAGTCTGAAAGAGTTGAGGACTCCTGTGCTAGAAGATACTGCTGCAGGATTGGGTCGTGGACTAAGCTGCCTATATACTGTTATACATCTCATAGGATTCAGTCAGTAAAATGTGACAACTATTAACCGTGTGTAGAGAATATTTCTTTACTGCCTTAGTTTGTCCTTCATGTTTAGAGGCAGGGCTTTA